GGGGGGGGGGGGGGGGGGGGGGGGGGGGGGGGGGGGGGGGGGGGGGGGGGGGGGGGGGGGGGGCGTTTTCACCGAAGCCAAACTAAGACTTCGCCCATTTTTTTGTCGGGTCGTAAGAAGGGAACACAACCTCGGTTTCCGTCCTGGCGGGTGTTTCACAGCATTTTGCGTACCCCCTCTCCCTGTTTTGTCGTTCTCAGGACGAAGACCTTGCGGCCGGGGTGTCGGGGATGGACATAGGTGGCGGACAGCGATTCGACGTCGGAAACGACAGCGGCAGCGGCACCAGAGCGGCGCGGGAGGGGCGGGGGGGGAGATCCTTCGAGGTTGATGACGACGACGACGACGACGACGACGACGACGATGAACGCTTTGGTGCGGGTGGGGGCGGGGGCAAGAGACCCGTCGGTGGCAGGAGTAGCGGCGAGTACGGCGACGGGGGGAGGAGAGGGGACGGGGGGCGGGGGCACGGCGACGACGGCGATGATGATGGCCATGACCGCAGATATCGGGAGGGAGGGGGCGCGTACGGTGACGATGACGAGGTGACGCTGTTGGTTGGCATTGGCGGGGTGCGGTCAGGAGGGCGTACTCATGGCTGTGCATGCCGTAGTGTTAAGACCATTGACACGCAAGGGGGCTGGCGGGCGTGTGTGCTATTTGTCTGACACTGTAGTGGACCCTACCGGACGAGAGGTGTTCACAGCTTGAAAACGCGGGGAGGAGGGAAGGGTGCAGCGAAGTTTGGAACATTGGGCGGAGGTTGTAGAAGTGGAATTGGCGGGAGCAGCAGCCGGCGGGGGTAGACTCGTGGTGGAAGGAGAACGTTTAGGAAGCGAGCGAAAAGTTTGTGTATTTATCGTGATATCGGCGGGCGACCACACAGGGCGGATGCTGGGCTTCTCTGTTGGTACCTGTCTGAGTGATCACCGTCACCAATTATTTGTATGCAAGAATTGGATTTTTTGCGTCTGGCAGGGTGAGCGTGGTTGGGTAGAGTACATCTTAGCGGATGCGTGTAGTAGGCCATGGACTTGAACCGATGCTTCGGTCATGGCGTGCCGAAAATGTGCCGGTGGTCGTATTTATTTTCGTCGTTTCGGCGGTTGGGGGTACTTGCGATATGCTTCCCTTGTCTCTTTTGCTTCCCCCCTCTTCCACTAACCATCTTTTCCTCCCGACGTCCCAACTCGACTTGATAGTTGCTTTTCGCCAGTTGCCTGTTTAATTTGTTCCAACCTGGCTGTCTCTTCCATTTATTCGTTTCGTTCTTGCCTGGCTCCGCAGGACGATGGCTGGAAGGCTTCTGTGGTGAACCAGGCTTCCCAGGGGGTCAAGGACTTTCAAAAGAAGACCTCTCAGGTATGCATGCATCTTTAAAGTTCTTCCGGCGGTCGTCGTGTTTGTTCTGCCGCCGTTGTGCTCGTCCTTGCTGTTGACGTAACGATGGCAATATTGTCTTCACCAATGCAATAGCTAATAGAGGAATGCATGAGGATGGAGGGGTTTCATGGGTTTGCGAGCGCGGGGAAGAGGGAGAGCTGGGTGGGTAGTTGACACCACCCTTTAGCGCTTGCTCTTGCAACTGTTTGCTAAGACCTCATCCAACATTGCCATCCGACTTGTTCGTGACGCCAATGGACCGATGGAATGCTCCTTGTTGGTTGGCGTCGGTGTTGCCTCTGCTCCCTACGGCTGGGCAGGTGGCCAAGACGATGGGATTCGGGGCGAAAAAGATGTGGAACGCGATAAACAAGGGCGTCGGGGGCCCCGTGGTTCCTTCCGAAGAGGCGATGGAGAACCTCCACGAATTGGCCAACTTCCTTGGAACTCCCTTCTCCGCCACGTGAGTAGGCAGGCAGACGAATACAAGCAACAGCGTGCAAACACGTTGGGAAGTACTCGGAGCGATGCCGCGCGGCGTGAGTTTGTGCTTTGCACCCGTTGACTGGAGCCGTTGAGTTTCCACATTCCGGCCAGCCTTTCTCATGCTGGCAATCTTCTTTCTGGTGCACCGTGGTCCACCACTGGAGAGATAACTCTGGCCGTTGGCCGAAACCTCTTTCTTTCCTTGTTTCGACAGTTGATTCCGCTTAGGGTCCGTTCGTGTGTCTTGAACGTACCGAGGTTTTCGCTTAGCGCTTCCGCAAGCACGCCAAACGCGACAAGCTTTGACCCCAAGGCTTCCCAACTGCTGTGCTCCGTCCGGAACGGAACGCTGATTGCTTCTGTGTTTTTCGTCCCTCTTGAGTATGGCCGTGTCGACCCGTTCTGCGGCGCCCCCACGTCTTTCCTATGCTTCCAAGAAGAACACCGAATTTGGTGGGCTATGTCACCTGCCCCTAAACTACGGACTGGATGTGGTCGTTGCAGCTGAGAAGCGGCGGTTGGGTCGTCGGCGATGATCTTTCTGGCGCGCACAGATGGCAATGCCGAAAGTTGTGAAAGGCTGGCTCTTCTCTCTCATACCCCACCCCTCCTGATGAACTTCTCCCGCACGTCGCAGGAGCCGGGAGCACGTGAACGACCTCGGGAAGGTGTGGATGTGCCTCTTCCCAGGTGGGATATATCAGAGACTTCGGCTGACGCTTGTCCCAGTTTTGGAAGAAATTTGGGGCGTTGTTATTGGGGAAGATGTGTTTGGGAAGGTTTCCTGCTACAAGCGATGTTTTTGGTGTTGTCCGTTCTGATCGGCGACGTGATCAAGGGTGCAGTATACATGCTTGCCACTGTATTCTATGGGTCATCGAAACGCTTCGTTTTCGTCGGAGACCACGTGTTCAAGTTGGCACCGAAATCTGGCTTTACGCGCGCACGAACATGGACACTAGTTATTGCTTTGAGTCACCACACTTGCTCTTTGGAGAACGCCGGCATAGACCATCCCATAGACCATCCCTTGTCCGACACGTCCCATGGTACGTGAGTGTACGCCGGTATTCCGCGGAGGCTGCTCTCTTGCTTCGCTTGGGTGGTGTGTATGACATACTTGAAGCATTGTGGGGTGCCGTGGGCTTGAAGAGCACATTGCATACGTTCCTTCCGTTCCCTCACTCCCTCTGTGACCCCTTCCCTCTCTCTCCTCCCCCCCCCCCCCCCCCCCCCCCCCCCCCCCCCCCCCCCCCCCCCCCCCCCCC